TGATCAGTTAATACCAATTTGATGGTGAGTACATGTGGTGCTTATTTTTCCATTCTTGGGATACTTCACTTAGTAGAATGTGTTCCAGCTCTTTTCAGGAGAATACAAGAGGTGCTATATCACCATTGTTTCTTAAAGCTGAATAGTACTCCATGGTGTATATATCTACCACATTTTATTAATCCATTCATGTACTGATGGACACTTGGGTTGTTTCCACATCTTTGCAATTGTGAATTGTGCTGCTATAAACATTTGGGTGCAGGTGTCTTTTTCATAGAGTGTCTTTTGTTCTTTTGGGTAGATGCCCAGTAATAGGACTGCTGGATCAAATGGTAATTCTACTTGTATCTCTTTAAGGTATCTCCATATTGCTTTCCACAGAGGAACAACCTGATTCTGCAGTGTTCCCTAAGTCTGTATTCTAGATAGAATGTGCTCTTTCAGTACTAGCACTAAATGGTGCTATGGCTCAAGCAGGCAAACATCAACACAGCAAACTAGATTATGTCTGTGTTGGTGAGGCCATTCGCAAATTTAAAGGCGAATGGCTGTCCATATTAGGGATTCTCACTGACAATGATGAGCCCTGGGAACAACCATTCCCCAAATGTATAATTTTATCTTCAATTTATCAGGCTTAATAAAATTATGTCACAAATTAATAAACAGATTAAAGATTTTTCTCAATGTCACTAAAAACACTTAGCCAACAATTTCAATGGTTGCATAACTTACTAATGTATATCTGTATCACAATTTACTTAAACTATACCTCTACTGTTGGAGAATTCAGCTTGCATTGTTTTTTAGTAGATAAAATTATGGTGGATATTTTGTGCATAAAATTCTAGCAGGGGAAGCAAAGCACACGTTTTAGGGGTAGATCCTTAGGACTATTATCTCAAAGGGTTTCGAACTTGTCTCAAAGGCTATAGGTCCTTGAAATATTACAAAACTGCTTTCCAAAAACCAGTTGACAAGGCCACCGGCAATGTTGGTCCTAGTTCACATAAACATGGGTGAATGATTTTAACTACCAACCATTGTCATCCAAATGGACAAGCACCATACATACAATGGTCAGAATTCATGCCATCACTTCTTAGCTATTTTCATATGAAAATTCTTAATTGCTACATTTAAACATTTTCTTGCATTGACTGAGGTGTTCCTATATATTAAACACCCAACTTCTAAAGTGCAGGAGGAGAAAAAGCAAATTTTTTAAAAGCAAATCTCTGAAAGTAGACCTTTGAAGTATATAAATTTATTAAAACTTACTCTCGGATCTTTTTCTCTGATCCATCTCTTCCAGGGTCATAAACTCCTTTAGGCAGGTGCTGAATAAGGCCTATTCTTTGAGCTATCCTAATTTGTTCCTCTTCAGTCAGTTGGGTTGCTAGCCGAGTCTGGCTAGGTGTTGGATGATAGACTGGAACTGGAACTTGTTCCTAAATGTTAAAAAATGGAAAAAAAGATTACTTTTTAGCAACGGGTTTTCTGGGGGTTATACCTTCTTTCTTTTGGCTGCGGCTAGGATGGAAAGGAGCCCTGAGGAGATATAGGAGAACTGGGATAGTCTGCAGCAGTGTGATTATGTTTTATCCTGCCTTAACTTTAGGTATTACAAAACATACACACATCCCAAAAAATTCATGTTTAGGTATCTGACCTACTTTAAAAGGATATAAATGCAAGCTTCACTAAAAAACTGGCAAGGAATGCTACCTGAAGTATTTCTACATGAAGACCATATAACCCAGATATATTTATTTCTGATAAGTGAATAGATTAAATAATATAAACAGATCTACCATGCCGATTAACCAGTTGGACTATATATACTCACTATCTTACTATTTTACAGGCTATAGTGGATTTGTGGCCTCAGAATTTGAACTGCCCATTATAGAGTTACTTCATTTTTTTCTGTCCATATAGACAATAACCTTAAAATTCATTTATTATTTAATAAGATTGAATATTATTGTGATAAACTTATAAAATTCCTTTTGCACTTTGGATACATACTCTGTATGACCAATAATTGAGTGACTCTTTAGTTATTAATCATAAACATGGCTGTGGGCACCTTTGGCTTAGATATTTACCTCTTCGAGATTTCACACTTAGGCTGGGTATAGTGGCATGCTCCTATAGTCCCAGCTACTCAGCAGGCTGAACCAGGAGGATTGCTTGAGCCCAGAAGTTTGAAATCCAGCATGGGCAATATAGCAAGACCTCCTATCTTTAAAAAAACAAAGAAACAAAAAACCCACCAACAACAAAGAAAGGATTTTATAATTAGTAGGCAAACTTTCAATGCAGAAAGAAGTTCCATGGTTTGGAGTCAAAAACTGTCCCTGCTCGGTCACTTATTACCCATATGACTTTGACCAAGTATTTAATCTCTGTGAGCCTCAGTTTTAAGTACTAGGGCCACTGTAAATATTAAATGGGAGTATTTAAGTGTTGTCTTTGGTATTGTAGCAGACACATAAAAGCCCAAAGTAAATAAATGTTAGCTACTATTATTGCAGTGCTACTATTATATGACTGTAGAATAGTATTCCATAATTTAACAAGTGGATTAGACTATAGCAAAAGTAAAAGCGAGTCTGCAAGTCATCTAATACCAACTCTCTTAATTTACAGGCCCAACCAACCTTGTCTACAGTCACACAGTTATTAAAAATACTGAAACTAGGCATCTGCTTTCCTTCTAATCTTATGAGTTTTTTATGCAACAAAAAATTCTGTTCAAAGGAATTGTATTTATAATCACACTTAAAACTAAACTACTCTGGTGGAATGGAGGTGGGATGGAGTATGACCTAGGAGTGATGAGGATCCCCACTCTCATACCCTCACTTTGGTTACCTTTGCAGAATTCTCAAAATAACAGAATAATCTGAAAAACACTACTATCTTAGAAGATGGGATTTTCAGTCTGAAGAATTAAATTATAAGATATGAGCCTCAAGTCTCTTAATGTCTTTGAATAAAGGAGATAATAGCACCCACTCTGGAGGGATGATGAGACAATCATATCGGATAACTAAGAGCTTTGTAAATGCCAACATTTGTAAATTATTCTAATTCTTTGTTTTCTCCCTATCTGCAACTGATGCTTCGTAGACTTTAAGCTAAGTGCTACAGTTCCAGGCTTTGATCCTGACTTTCTGGCTTCTCCCTGAATACCAGCAATTCTTTGGCCTCTATTGGGACCTCTGCCAGCTCTGAGTTCTTCAACCCTTGGATTACCATTTCCAGTCTGGACTACCTTCCTGAGTCTCAGCCCCAGTCCTATTTGGCCAATGAGCTGCCATCTACACAAAAATGACACATAAGGTCACATAGGAACAAAGTAGTATGACACTGTGGGTAAATAAGGGTCTCCAAAATTCCTGAACATATCTAAAAATCAAAAATAACTAAGTTGTTTTAGAGCAAAAAAACTCTAAGCACCTGTTTTTCGGAGACTAGATTTCTTCAGTCTTCTGGTTCACATATGTGTATAGAGAACACAGGAAGCAGAACAGAAAAGGAAAGCTCCATTTTATGGAGAAACATATTAATAGACATTAAAGAGGAAAATAAGAACCACTTTTTAACACACTGACTGCCACACTAGAAAAAATTTTTTTTCCTTGGGGTCACGGTGTTTTATTATGAAAATAGAATAAAAACTTCGAAAACAAAAGATCCTTTCTAATTTAATGAAA